CCAAAGCGCGAAGATTTCTGGCGTAAATGAGACGAATGTCTTTGCGTTTGGCCTTATAATTACATTGAGGACACCTCTGGTTCTGCTTATTCTTCGGGTTCAACCACTGGTCAATACATCGGCGACCAAACAAATGACCACAAATTAATGACACCAATTGATGGTCACCCGTATTGGTCCACAATTCAGTACATATTATACAACAGTTATCACAATTCTCTTGAGTGGACAATACGGACGCATTCATTGGTTGTTTGGCTGAAACCGGTTCCTCACTCTTGAGCGGCGCCTCAACGGTCGCATCACTTGAGTTGTTATCATTGTTTTGGACATCCATTGCCCGCTCCGTCTCTACCGTCTCAACGGACTCGCCGTCCGATTCAATCACTTCCACAGCCGAAGAGTCATTGTCTCCGTTATCACTGAAACTATAGTTATTAGGATCGATGAAGTGGTCATCAGTGGTGCCCTCATATTCATCGCCGTAATCTTCATAGTCTTCGTATTCTTCGTAGTCCTCGTAATCAGACATTCATTCAAATAAAAACCGCAAAAACGCGACAATAATTGCAAATGAATTGAAAAGTATTGAAAACAAACATTTTTGTGACGAAACGGTTGTCAGAAACCAATCATCGCTTTCAACGCTTTCACACATTTGCCATCAATTTTGTCATATTTTTGGCATTCATTTCAATGCAATGTATAATTAGAGGGAGTTTTATAAGTGAAACATTATTTATGTAAAGAAATGCATTTTTGATGTCATTTTCATGAGTTGTAAAAAATTGTATTGAGTTTAGGATTAGTTTTTTGGGATTAATTGTGGATTAAGTGCCGGAAAGTGTGTTTGCGATGACTTTTTACCACTTTATAAATTGTTTATTTCTCACATTCACGCCAATTGTTTTATTATACAAATTTTCATCGCTGTAAGTGTTATTGGAGTGGAAACACCCTCTATGTTGATTGCTATGATGACCATGGTGATTGTGGTGATGATGATGGTTGATTGATGGTACTAATGATATGATGTATGAATGTATGACAGGTCAGAGTACGGCACTATATGGAGGACAGGTGTGGGAGTGTTGGCATATATAGTGACACAAGTGTGTAAACTAGTGATCATAGCGGCGGTCATCCCTCCGAACCCACTGCTAAACCATTTGATTGATTTGTTGGGAATGTATTGGTTTTTAGTCAATCAAAACAAGGCGTCCATCGCTTCCGTCAAAATACTTAGTATGCATTTTGATTGTCAATCGGTTGCTAATGAATGGCATATATGTGTGGCTAATGTATTGCAATGTAATTGTTAGGCATAGCGTTGGGCTGGAGTTTAGGCGAATCGATATTCACCCGATTGGTTGACTTCTATCTGAACGCGCGGTCTCTTCAGTTTGACGCGAGTCATCTCTTGAGCGCTACCGAAGCCAACATTCATTTAGTGAGTGACGCATACATTGATTGTATAGTTGTATAGTCTATGTAATGGCTTGTCATTAGATCCAGAACCTGGCGGTCTGTGCGCTGTTGTGGCGGTGGAACAGAAGTGGCAACAAGTTGTCAATTGTCTTAATAATGGCATACTTTGTGTGTTTGTCATCAATTGAAATGCATTTATTGAGTCAAATCGGAGCACTTATAGCGCTTTCGACAGTCACTCTATTCTTAACAAATTAGTTGTCATTTAATGTACGAAACATTTGTCGAAATATTATTAATAAATTACAATTAAATGCTTTTTAAAACAAAATACTTTGTTATATGAAAAGTGAATTATTAAATGAGAATCGTATCGACTCTTTATATAATCAATAGTTTTTAAACTCTTATTTCAATTAAAAGTTTAGAAAAAATATAAAAAATGTTTTGACGAATGGATTGTATAATAAATAGAGGGAAATGTGATGTTAAGTAGAGGCCAGCCATGGATGCTCTCGGATGGCATTCTTGTCGGTCTCGCCGTAATCGTAGAGAATCTCTTCGCTTTGATTAATATCTCTGAGAGCGATGAACACCAGATGCGGTCTCCCATTGGATTCAACCAGTTTTGTCTTACAATTGGGTGTCTTTCGGCTGTGGTTTATGAGTCGCCCGAAACGACCGCTGGGTTTGGTTGCGTCGATACACCACGTCTTGGACTTCCAACTGAAGTAATACATATAACAACCCGCGCCCACCAATGCGTACGACACCTCTTGACACTATCACAGCAACACATCCAACACAAGCAGATTAGTCATCAAACCAGTCAACAACCAGACAGATATGTCTCATACCTGAGCCCTTTCCATGTCTACGAGATCTCCACTGTATTCACAAATGAAAGACCCCTTTGATATGTCCCGCGAGGCGACCACACCTTTGCCTTTGTCACCGAACTCTTCCACAGCCAACAGGTCTTTGGGATCGCAATCATTGATGAGATAGTGTTTAATGAGTTTCTCTCTCTGGAGTTCCAGCGCTTTGGAAGTCAATCGTTTGCGACCCGAAGATAGCGTCGGGTAGTAATCGGTGATCAAATGGTTATGGGATGTAGTCTTCGTGCGACACGTGTTCCCCTCTTTGGACGACTTGACCGCCACTTTGGTCTCGTTGTGATCACTTGTGTCACTAATACTACCATTAATGGACTCGCGAGTCAATCCATTCACACCATTCACACCATTGGTCACAATAGTCTTGCATTTGGTCTTCCGTTTGCTTTTGGATCGCATGGTCTTCGGGAGGACTGACCGCCGAAACATACAATCGATTCAAACACTAAATCTATTCATAAATTCAATTCAATTCAACACTTAATTCAAGATTTAAAGCAACGAATCAGTGCTTAAAAGCGCTCACAAATCACTCAACACTACATCCAATCGTTCAGACATTACGTCAAACAATGTCTTTATATTTGTTTCAATTATTCGTTTGTTTATTATTGAATTTTCTCCTATTTTTCAATTCATTTCATTTGTTTTATTTATTTTAATCGTTTGTTTAATTCATTTTAAAACTATTTACAAGTTTTCGTTATAAATCAATATAAATGCCAAATGAATAATAAAAGCGTAATTTATATGATTGTTATGAATGAGACAGCGATTGGTTGACCCAAATTGAAGGCACACTTTTGTAATGCGTGTCAAAGCGATTGCAATACATTAGTGGCGCCAATACTATGGAGTCATACACTTGTGATCACGTTTTTGACGTATTTATAGCCAATTGTGTGCTTTTGTATGCATACTATTGTTGGCAACAAATAGTTTGCGATTTTTAAACTTTAAAAATCTTAAAAACCGTTTTATTATAGGAAAGGCATAAAAGGCTCTCATTATTGACAAACAGTAAGCAGAGAAGGGAGGGGTGGGGGAGGGGTAGGGGAGGGGGTGTTCACATGGTTATGAACATATGAAATATTTGTTGTTCCATAATAATAATGATTATTTAATGAATAATTAGAATATAAAATTGATCATGCACATTGTACTCCACATAATCTACTTTAATCTTAAAGATTAAGTTCAAAAATTTAACAAATAATTAAATAATTAAAATGATTGTGATAAAAATTTTATCGTAAAATAATGATTTTAAAATAAGTTTAAAATTCGATATTGTATTATAGTTATAAAATAATTGCCTAGCTGCTCTATGTAATGCTCTAGCACATTTAGAGCAACATATTGTACTGGACGTGAAAGTGAATATTCTTGCGATAGATTTGTATAAGAATCTCAAAATTGTAGTGCCCTCAATTAATTTGACCATGCTGATTTGGCATATATTTAACTATTGTCAAAATGGATCATGTTTCATTTATGATACATGTATAGAAAATTATATAAAAATGTAATAGAATATGAATCGCGTAACAAAATAGTGTAAAATCTAGGCATTGGTTGTATTGTATTGATTGCATCGGTTGTAGTGTTGGCTGTAATGAGGAAATGCCTTACTTTGACAATATGTTGAGCGCTTGAAAGCAGACTCCAATCCAACACTGCGTTCACCTCTACTTCACTCACACACTCGTCAGCGATGTCTACACCAATTGATTGCATTTGAACTTTGCATCCAAATGAGTGTTTTGGTCACAATTGTGGTCACAAATGGTTATGTAATGAATGACTCAATTGTGAACTCAGTTTCAATCACTAATTAGTGACCATTAGTTGGCTTTGGGTTTGCATTCACTCCTCATATGATTATATGATTACATATTATATAACATCTAATAATAAGCAATGGTTTTGAGCAAACAGTTGCGAGTTTACCATAAATTAGACAACAATAGTGTTTACAGTGTTTTGTTGGACAACAAGAACTACAAACACGAGTCACTACTACTCGAAGCGGACGCCATCGCCACTCTCGGTAACTATCACTCCAACACTTCCACCACAACCACAGCCGCTCTCGTTGTGGTTGTCTTATATATGACATGCAATTGTATTGAATGGTCTAATCATGCGATTGTCGGACAACAGGTCCCTCCGAAGCCGATTCTGTGCGTCACTTGTATTCAACCGTTTTGGACGCTTACGGATGTCTCGGAGTTCTTCAGCTATCAGTGGGTGAGTGTGTATTGGAATGGATGGCAACGGATGGCAATGGATGTGTGCAGTGATGGGCAATGGGTTGTGAGGGGAGCGGAAGAGCTGCCTATTTTGCGATCACAACTGCTGTCACTGTCAGACATCTGTTGCCAAAAGTGGTGCAAAGCGTGTATTACATGTGTAGACGAGTCCGATCTCCTCATCCATAGCCCCTCCACAGGCCCTCTATTGCCCCCACACTCACAGCCCTCTCAATGCTCTCATTCCTCTCCCCTTTTCCTGTGTTTTCATTCACTTTACACTTCCTTTAAATGTTTGAATCAATTC